TTAAAAGATACGGCTCCAAGAGGATATCTTCGTGATGTTAGGTTTGGTGATGTGTTTTTAGATGTGACAGAAGAAAGAAAAGAAAACGGGACATCAATCAAAAATTGCTGTTAGAATGTGCCCTTTGGTTGTTCAAATGGTTATATGTTCCTGAGTGTTTTTGTGTATATCCCCCCTCCCTACAAAGACAACAAAAAAAAGAGGGAATGGAAGTAAGTACTGATGATGCCCAGAGTTTGTAATCATTGCAATGAAACAATGGTATAAAGCCGATGTTCTCCCATGGAAACTATCACTTGGTTCACAATAAAAACTTAAGAGGGAAAAAAATGTGGTTACCAGAAAATTGAAATTGAAATTTGTGGCTCAAGGTATAGTTCTACTGAACAACACTGGTCTAGATACCTCTCTTACCTTACTGTTGTTGTTAAGTGTCGTTGAGTTGGTTCCGACCCATAGCAACCCAGTATAGGGTTTCCAAGGAGCAGCTGGTGAGCTTGAACCACTGACCTTGTAGTTCAAACAGCTTTGCAGTCTGACACATTAACCCACAGCACCATCCCAGGACTCCATCTCTTATCTTATAGGCAATATATAAAATGTAAAATGTTTTTTAAAAATGCTGTTAGAGGATGAAAAGATACGGTCTGGGCTGAGAGTTACCATTGTGGATCTGACAAAGGACTTGTATCCACAGTACATAAACCTCAGTGCTTCACAGCACCCCGTATAGTGCTTTTGAGAGGGGCTGGTGACCTTGAATGAAAGAACCTAATAAGAAGATGACAAAGATTTTGAACACTCCATCTACTAAGAATTATAGATGGCAACCTCATTAGAGGACTCCCATGGAGTCCTGCTGTGGCGCTGTAGGACAAACACTAGATAACTAACTGAAAAGATGGCTGCTCAAACCTTCAGCATTCCATCGGAAACCCTATACAGAGTCCCTATAAACTGAAATCACCATGAAGGCACTTAACAAGTCTCCTTAAGAGGGGATGATAGTCACCGAGAAGGAATGAGTGCTAGCAGAAACTAGTGTTGGCCACTAGTCTACGAAAGCATTATTGCCAAGGACAGACATGCCAAACCTAGAGGCTGATTCCACTTACGATGACCTAGAAAAGGCAGGGATTGGTCAGGAAGCTAGGGTCTGTGCGCCACACCCTGTTGGTTTGGTCCAGAAGCCCTAGTGGTGCAGTGGGTTCAAACCCACCAGCCACAACGGAGAAGAAAGAGGAAGCACTGTGCTCTCATGGACTTACAGCCTCAAACCCCCACTTTGTCCTTTAGGGTCACTGACTCCCTGTTGAATCGATTGTCGTGGGTGGGCTTTTTGGGTGTTTTTGTATGGACCATAAGCTCAAAATCATTTTAACAATTTAAAATGGCTGAAAAGTATTTCATGACATGAAAACTCCAAAACAAAATTCCAATTCCAATGCACACAAGAAAAATTGTCTTGGAACACAACCACGCATGTTCTTTTATACGTGACCTATGGCGGCTGGTACTGAGATTGTGGAAGAGAGGGACTGGCCCACCAAGCCGGACATGCTGACTCCTGGGCCCTTTCTAGAAAAGCTGTGCTGCCTCACGCTCTAGGAGCGGGTAGAGCATGTGATTACAGAGGGGTTGTTGTTGTTAGGTGCCATTGAGTCGGTACCAACTCATAGCAACTTTATGCACAGCAGAACGAAACACTACCCAATCCTGGGCCAACCTCACTACTGTTGCCACGCTTGAGTCCATTGACCCTGTATACGGTTTTCAAGGAGCGGCTGGTGAGCTTGAACCACTGACCTTAACAGTTCAAACAACTTTGCAGTCTGACACTTTAGCCTACAGCGCCACACCAAGACTATTCTTATTGTTAGGTGCCATTATGCACAACAGAATAAAATACTGCCCGGTCCTGTGCCAACCTCACAATTGTTGCCACGCTTAAGCCCATTGATGCTGCCACTTTCCCAATCTGTCTCGCCATGGGTCTTCCTCTTTTTCTCCGATCCTCCACCCTACCAAACATGACATCCTTCTCCAGCGACTGGTCCCTCCTGACATGTCCGAAGTATGAGAGACGAACTTTGGCCATCCTGGCCTCCAAGGAGCACTCTGGCTGCACTTCTTCCAACACAGATCTGTTGGTTCTTTAGGCAGCCAATGGCACTTTCAATATTCTCCTCCAACACCATTAACTCAAAAGCATCAATTCTTCTACAGTCTTCCTTATTCACTGTCCAGGTTTCGCATGCATGAGGTTATTGAAAATACCATGGCTTGGGTCAGATGTACCTTAGTCCTCAAGCTGACAGCTTTGCTCTTCAACACTTTAAAAAGGTCTTGTGCAGATTTGCCTAATGCAATATGTCATTTGATTTCTTGACTGCTGCTTCCAAGAGTGCTGATAGTTGATCCAAGAATGAAGTTCTTGACAACTTCAATCTTTTCTCCATTGATAAAAACGTTGTTTATTGGTCCAGTGGTGAGGATTTTTATTTTCTTTACATTGAGATGTAATCCATACCGAAGGCTGTGCTCTTTGATCTTCATCGGTAAATGTTTTAAGTCCTCTTCACTTTTGGCAAGCAAGGTTGTATCATCTGCATATCGCAGGTTGTTAATGAGTCTTCCTCCAATCCTAATGCCTCATTTTTCCTCATATAACCCAGCTTCTCGGATTATTTGCTCAGCATACAGGTTGAATAACTATGACAAAAGAATACAGGCCTGTCACACACCTTTCTTAATTTTATACCACTCAGTGGTCCCATGTTTTGTTCGAACAACTGCTTCTTGGTCCATGTACAGATTCCTCATGAGCACAATTAAGTGTTCTGGAATACTCGTACTTCACTATGTTGTCCATAGCTTGTCATGATCCACACAATCGAAAGCCTTTGCGTAGTCATTGAAGCACAGGTAAACATCTTTCTGATATTCTCTGCTTTCAGCCAAGAGCCATTGGATATCAGCAATGATATCCCTCGTTCCACGGCCTCTTCTGAATCTGGCTTGAACCCTCTGGAAGTTCTCTGCCAATGTATGCTTGCAGTTGTTTTACCTTTAGTTAAAACTTTACTCGCTTGAGATATCAAAGAGATTGTCCAATGATTTCTGCATTCCGTTGGGTCACCTCTCTTTGGTTTGGGCACAAATATGGATCTCTTCCAGTCAGTAAGCCAGATAGTTGTCTTCCAAATTTCTTGGCAGAGATGAGTGAGTGCCTCCTGTGCTGCCACTTTCTTGAAAGATTTCAATTTTTATTCCATCAATTGCTGGTGCCTTGTTCTTTGCCAATTCCTTCAATGCACCTTGGACTTCCTCCTTCAGTATCATTGGTTCTTGATCATGTGCTATCTATTGAAACAGTTGAACATTAGCCATTTCCTTTTGGTACAGTGACTCTGTGTATTCCTTCCATCTTCTTTTTGATGCTTTCTGCATCATTCAGTAATTTTCCCAGAGAATCCTTCAATAACGAAAGTTGAGATTTGGATTTTTTCTTCAGTTCCCCCAGCTTGAGAAATGATGAGCGTGTTCCTCCTTTTTGGTTTTCTGCCTCCAGATCTTTGCACATTTTATTGTAATATTTGGCTATCTTCTTGAGCTGATCTTTGAAATTTTCTGTTCAGCTTTTGGACCTCCTCATTTCTTCCATTTGCTTTAGCATCTCTATGCTGGAGAGCAAGTTTCAGTCTCTTCTGACATCCATTTTGACCTGTTCCTTCTTTCTTGTCTTCTCAATGACTTTTTAAGTTCTTCATGTATGATGTTCTTGATGTCGCCCCACAACTCTTCCGGTCTTCAGTCTTTAGTGTTTAATGTATCAAATCTCTTCTTCAGATGATCTCTAAATTCAGGTGGGATATATTCAAGGTCATATTTTGGCTCTCGTGGACTTGTTTTCCTTTTCTTTAGCTTCAGTTTGAATTTGCATATGAGTAATCAATGGTCTGTTCCACAGTCTGCCCCTGGCCTTGTTTTCACTGATGATAATGGAGCTTTTCCATCTTCTCTTTCCACTGATGTAGTCAATTGGATTTCTGTGTATTCCATCTGGTGAGGTCCATGTGTATAGTCATCTCTTATGCTGTCTAAAGAAGATATTTGAAATGAACAAATCATTGATCTTGCAGAAATCTATCATTTTACAGATGAGGTATCTGGGGACAAATCTGGGGGGCCTGATGGGACTGCTATGTATTGAGAATGGGGCGCAAAGAAGGAGCAATGACATGAAAGAGACAGCCAACAACACCCGCTGCTAAGAGGAATCCTCTCTGATCTCTCTGATAATAAACTTACACAGAGGCAATGTTTCTTCCTGCATTTGATTTTATCATTTGACTCTGGCTCATTCTCTGGGACAACAAGTTTTAGGAAGGCCTGTTTTTAAATATTACAATGTTGCAGGCAACAAGCATGGCCTTATGACAATAAAACAGTTTACTGTAAAAACATGCAGATTTTTTTTTTTTTTTTTTTTTTAACAGCAAGGGAAAAATATATTACGAAAGGGGGAGGGAAGCAAAATCTGGACCAAAATTCAAGTATTTGATTTAAGCACAAGCATTCAATTGTACCATCCTACCCAATAACTATATATTTAGCTACAACTGATCAAGTTGTGAATAAGACAGAACTTAGAATATACAAGTATGAATTGATACAACTGACAATTAGAAGCTCTTCAAAGTCCACTTGTGTCAAAGACAATGAGCGGCGTGGTCTTGGCCTCTGCAGCTCAGAAATGCAGCCAACCCGCTGGCAGCTCGTTCTCGGTAACTTTCTGCCGCAGTGGGGGCCAGAGAGTGGGGTTGCTCTTGGGATTACTTCCTGTTGGCTACTTAAGTGGGAGCTGCTCTGTCTTGACCAGAGACCAGACCACCTCCTCGGAGGCTTGGAAAAGTCACAGAATTGTGCTCGCTCTGAAGTGGTGCTGCTGGCTCAGAGGGTTTCACCAACCGGAGCCGCCCGGCGTTTCTCTTCTGGGTTTAGGAACCAGTGTCCTCATCACACTCCTCCTCATCATCATCCTCTTCCTCCGCCTCCCTCCTCTCCTGAAGCATTGTTAGGTATTTGCTAGCTAAAATCTTCTTTGGTAGTATGTCTAAAAACCAGAAAGTTGACATTAGCAATTGCTTCTGATAGCCCAGGAATACATCAGTGCAAAGTTTTAAACGTACTAGTCCCTGCTCTGACCTCTACAGACTCCAATCCAGAGGAGACACCATTCCAGCTAGGCTTCTGGGCACAATGACCTGGCAATCCAGTGGGCTCTCCTGACTAACACTACCAACCCAGGACTGGCTGGGCCCACCCACAAAAGTCAGGACTGCTTTCTCTGTTTCTGGGGCCAACAAGACCAGCCACCAGCTTTCCCTTCAATAGCAGGGGGATCCTGAGAGGCTGGCCTGGCCAGGCTCACTCACCAGCCCACCAAACATTCTTGTGCCTCCTGTTGACTTGGTTGTTGACGAGGTGACCACCATTACAAACCAGAGTCGACGAGAAAGACAAGGAAAACTGTCTTGCTGTGTATTTCCTGGTAAACTCTGACATCAGAAAAGCCGCACTAGCTCACCCAGGGTAAGTAAAGCCACAAACCCCAATGTTTCACAGTACCTGCCAGAAACTGGAAAGTGTCTGACTCCTCGGCAGTATTCGCTACATCACTGTAAGCCAGTGCTTTCTTGTCCTTTCCAGTGCCATGTCTGTAAGAGTAGGTGGCTAGATACTGAACAAAGAGCTCCTACAACAAAACAAAAACATCCAATGAAAGCTAGGCTCTGAAAACAGGTTTTGAAAGTTGTATCTCATTTAGAAGACTGCACATGGTCCAATTAAATGACAGGAAGTCATGTGTGGGAGGAACATGAAACCACAGAGAAAACCGGGTCACATCAGAGTTCTGTGAGAGCAGGTATTTCCCAGTTAGTTTTCCATATCTAACTTATGGAAAGTATTTTAAGTGATTAAACAATGAATCCTAGATGTTTCATAACCACCCTTACACTTGGTACAGGAGACCCTTCTAAACTTCTATGAGGCTCATATAAACTCATATAAACTTCTATACTCCTCTGTTGTCCTGGTGTGGCATTGTAGGATACACAGAATCGCAAGGTCTGTGGTTCAAACCCACCAGCGGCTTCTCAAAAACTCTACACAGGGTGGCCTTGGAGTGGGAACTGACTCAAAGGCACTTTGCAACAACAACAAGCTACTTTAGGAGCCCTGGTGTGGAGCTTTAGGATTAAACACTGGGCTGCTAATCGCCAAGTTGGCAGTTCAAACCCACCAGCCACTCCTCGGAAACACTATACAGGTTCACGATGAGTTGGCACCCACTCAACGGCACTTAGCCACATTGTCCTTGTGTGGCATTGGACTGCTAAGCGCAAGACTGGAGATTCAAATCGACCATGAGGCAGAAAGAACCGATTTGATAGTACTTAATTGGTAGCGTAGTGGTTACGAATTGGTCTGCTAACCTCAGGGTCAGCAGTTCGAAACTACCAGCTGTTCTGTGGGAGAAAGATGAGGCTTTCTGCTCCCATAAAGATTTACAGCCTCAGAAACCCTGTATGGGGTCGCTATGATTCAGAACCGACTCCATGGCACATAACCACCACCACCACCACCACTGGGACACCCAGAACTGGAGTAACACCTGGGCCCTGGAGGTAGGAAGTGGCCCCATTTCCCCATTTGCCTAAACACCTTCCCCATGCTGGGAACTGGTCTGGACTGGGCCACTCTCTAAGAACATGATCTTTACTTTCCTTAACCCTCAAGCTCCATTATTTGGAGCCCTGGTGTGGCGCTGTAGGATCAGCACTGGACTGCTAACTGCCAGTTTAGCAGTTCAAACCCACCAGCTGCTCCTCGGGAACCCTATAGAGTCGCTAAGAGTTGGAAGTGACTCCACAGCACTTAACAACAATTTGATTGTTGAAGGCTTAAAGGAGTGTTTATGTCTTTCTTCCTTAGCCCCACTCGAATAAAACTGCCCAGGAAACACAAGTCTCCCATCAATATTGCAGCTACAAATATTTTCCTGAAGGAAGCAGGTAAGAAACATGCCATCCTGTAAGTCTAAGGTGTTGTACACATAGCTCAGACGTCTCCTAAGAGGAAGGGCTCTGGCCTGACACATCCCCAAACACCCACTCCCCTGGAATCCAATGGACTCATTGCGATCCTGTATAGGGATTCGGAGGAGCGTCTGGGGGGTCTGAACTGCCAACCTTGCAGCTAGCAGTCCAGTGCTTATCCTACAGCACTAGGCCAGAACTTGGACTCACCGTGGCCCTATATAGCGTTTCTGAAGTTGTGCATATTTACAGGAACACAAAGCCTCAGCTTTATCCACTAGTGCAGCTGGTGGGTTAGAAACATCCACAGTGCTTAACCCACAGTGCTTAACCACCAGGAGTCCTTTACTACTGTTTGTTGTCAAGTTCAGTCGAGTCTGTTCCAACTCATAGCGACGCTGTATAGGGGTTTCCGAGCCTTTTAAAATCTTTGTGGGGCAGAAAGTCCCATCTTTCTCCCACAGATTGACTGGTGGGCTTGAACCACTGACCCTGTGGTTCGCAGTCCTGTGTTTATCCTATGGAGCCACCGCGCTCCCCTTTACTACTACTCTCACTGTTGTTAAGTGCCTTCACGTCAGTTCTTCCTCATAGCAACCTTTTATAGGGTTTCCAAAGAGGAGCTAAGGCAGCTCTGGTAGAGTAGTGGTTACGAATTGGGCTGCGAACCTTAAGGTCAGCGGTTCGAAACTACCAGCCGCTCCGCGGTTGAAAGATGAGGCTTTCTACTCCCGTAAAGATTTACACCCTCGGAAACCCTGTACAGGGTCGCTATGGGTCG